AAGTACAGTACTCTTCTTAAAGTCTTCAAGTTGGAAGCTACCCAGAATGATCTTATAGAGAAGATTTCTTTTAGTTCAGTAAATGGTTGATATGTAAACTTATTAATTCTCCTATAAATACCACCGTATACCAGTCATTAAAATCACAAGAAATCCATTACTATTTCAACTCTTTTAAGAGAGAATATGGGGTTCTCACAAAAGCTCTGTCCATTGGTCTTCCTGCTTTTGTCCTTCCTTGCTTTTTCATTCTTATCGTCTTCTTCTTCAGCAACACAACTCTGCTCCGATGAGCAGGCTATTGCTTTGTTGCAATTCAAGAATTCTATTTCCATCAATAAGAGTACTGCTCTTTCTGAGTGGTGTGAATCTTATTATGGCATTAAATCTAAGACAGAGTCATGGAAGGAGGGTACAGACTGTTGCTCGTGGGACGGCATCACTTGTGAGAATGTCACAGGTAATGTACTTGATCTTAATCTCAGCTGTAGCGGCCTTTATGGCTCCTTCCCTTCCAACAGCAGCCTTTTTCTCATCAAAAGCTTGCAAAGCCTCAATCTTTCCCACAATGATTTTAACCTTTCCAAGATTCCAAGAGAAATTGGTCAGTTTGTGAGCTTAAAACACCTTGACCTTTCTTATTCCTTGTTCTCAGGACAAGTTCCGAACGAGATCACCCACCTTTCTAAGTTAGTTTCACTTAATCTCTCTAATTCTGAGTTGAAACTTGAAAAAACAACTTTCAAGAATCTTGCTCAAAACTTCAGTGAGATAAGAGAACTTATCCTTAGGGCAGTGAACTTGTCATCTTTGAATCCTCGTTTCGTAATGAATCTTTCTTCTTCTTTGATTGATCTTGATCTTTCTTTTTCTGACTTAAAAGGAAAATTTCCACACAACATTCTCCAGTTTCCAAATCTTAAGTCTCTTACATTAGGTGGAAGTGAACAACTTACTGTTAGTCTTTCAAGGTCTAATTTGAGTAGTCCTCTTGAATTTTTGTATCTATACGACATGAATTGCTCAGAACTTTTTCACTCGGTCAGCAAGTTGAAGTCATTGAAAGTTTTATCTCTATGTTCCTGCAACTTGAAAGGTTCCATTCCATCTTCAATAGGGAACTTATCACAGCTTAGTATGGTGGACCTTTCATGGAACCATTTAGGTGGTCTGATCCCAGCATCACTTTCCAACCTCACAAAACTTACTTTCCTTTCTCTTTCATATAATCTGTTTTCTGGTCCCATTCCTTTTGATTTAGGTAGATTTTCAGAGTTAGTCTATTTGGACTTAAATTCTAACTTATTCAACGGAACAATTCCTAGCTCTATAACAAATGTTGTGAATCTTACTTCTCTTGATTTATCAGCAAATGACTTGAATGGTACATTAGAGTTAGACATGTTTTCAAAATTTCAAAATCTTGAATATCTTTCTCTTTCATACAACAATTTGTCTTTGAAAACTAATTTCAATGTCAATTATACATTACCCAAACTAAGAGTCCTAGGTCTAGCTTCTTGTCATTTGAGTGAATTTCCAAATATCTTAAGAAAGTCAAGTGATTTAGAGGAATTAAACCTTTCAAATAACAATGTGTCTTGGAGAGCAAATATCAATGTCAACTATACATTCCCTAAACTACAATTTTTGTCTTTGTCTTCTTCTA